ATGTCGCCGTGATTGATGGACGAACCGCAAAAAAAAAAGAGACGAGCGAGCGACGAGTCCCCGAAGAAAGAGAGCCCTTGCTCTTGCCCTGCCAAGTCCCTGCAAGTGCCTGGCCCGTCCCCACTAGATCCACCCACGTCCACTGTCCACCTCCGCTGCCGCGGAGAGGTACCTTGTACGAGTGGAGTCGCAGCGACATGGATTAACGACCCTGCATTTGGAGAGACAGGCACGACTCGACCAAATTTCATTTCCCGCTCACTCGCTGTGTTGAAGATTTCAGCCTGGAAGTTGAGGTGACTTGGGAAACCAGAGTCCATGATCCAGTTAGTAGAGGATACTTGATCACTGGCGAGAGAGCGGACCGTGAAACGGGGGGCGGGCACCATTCGGAAAGCGCAAGAATAGACGCCAAAACAGTACTGGGAAACCCAAGCGTTCCGTAGCGTGGTTTTCTTGGCACCACAGGCAATCGAAACGAGGGAAAATGACGTTATTGTGCACTGCTGGGTGAAATGTAAGTAGATCGGCTGGGATAGACTTGGTAACGTTCCATATCCTCGTCCAAAATAACATGTTGTGTTCGGGGGCAGAATGATGATGCTGAAATCTCCAGTTGTTCATCCCCAAAAGAACGGCAGACGGGAAACAGTACTTACTAGGTAGAGGCCCGGTGGCGGGGATATCGGAATAGCATCCCACTCGTGTTCGGCCCTCTAAAGAAGCGGTGGTGTAATAACCGATAGCGGCTCGTTTCTTCTTTCTGTCAGACTGAACGAGGGACGGACGGGAATCGACGGGACGAGCTGCAGTCAGTGAGCGCCTCCGGCTCATCACGGTCGGCGAGGATGCACAAGTGCGAGTCGATCACTGCAGGAACAGGCAGGGGGCACAGGCCACTTGGAGCTGACAAAGCACGGGCCATCCACGCCAAGACAACTCTCACTTTCTTGACTTGCCCGGCTGCGTGCCTCGTTTCCTTTTTGCAATTCGTTCTTCTTCTGTTTCCGCATCTTCCTCGATCGCCAACGACAGTAAAATACGCGATTTTCAAAACAATTCCGAAGTGAAGCAGGGTCAACCCTTGATACTCTGGCAATGCACGTGACGAAAGCGCTATGCTGGGTACCCTCTGTGCCCTATCTTCGCCTACCCAAATCACTCCATCACCTCCTTTCCCCTTGCAATTGGCCCAGTGCCCGAACACTTTCACCACCACGTCACGCTTGTCACACTGTTCCATTCGCACCTCGAAAATCACTTTCATTACATGCAGGACCACCACTCAGCAAACCAGACCGGCCCGTCGGCCACCCAGATCCTTCACTCCTCAACTGCATCGGATGCATTGGAAAGGGGGCGAGGCCAGTCTTTTTCCATGAGAATAACCAACTGAATGACCGGATGTCATCCCCGGGCCGGGCGTTGGCGACCCCTTGAGCCTAGCATCACTGCCTCAGGTCCTGCCCACTCTCGTTTCCCATAAATCCCCAGACACTCAGCCTCTGCCTATTTCCATCTATAGCATTCGAAGCTGTTGGGGAGCCGGATACCGAAACTTCCCGGGACTGCCCGCTTGGGTACGCATCCCCGACCAGGACCAGGCGTTGAGAGGCATCAGGCCATCACCAGTATCCAGATCCTTCGGGCGATCGCATGCAAAATGAGCACGGCAAGGCGTACACAGCCATGGGTCGAGACCTTAGGAAATACAATAGTATTCCTTCTTTTTCCTCACCACTATTCGCCATTCAGGGAGCCCGCTACAGAAGCCGGCTCATGATGCGACCAAGGCAAGAGGCCACAACTCCCCGCCGTCACATCGTCACCACCTAAAAGCTTACCTCATGAAGATTCGCTGCCTGGACCGAGGGACGGATAGCGGATCGTTCCTCGTATCGTCCTGTCTTCCGGCTCGGTCGCGCGAATGGTTGGTTGCTAGGTTTTGGGGTGCCCTGTGGTGGTTCTTCAGGTCGCATCGGATCTGGTTCCCCGAAATCACTTCCTTGCTTCTTGGGCCTCGGTATCGGAACGGTGGGCGGTTGGCACAGCCTCGTCCAACTTGAAATTTTTACCAAGAGTCGAGCCAACAAACTTAAACTTTAGACGCCCTTGCCGCCCGCTAACAAAGTTCTTGAGCATTGCCTCCTACACCATAACGCATCTCGGGTCGCCATCGTCGGATCACAGCACCACCAACAAAGCCACGGAGCCACGGTCTTGGGTGAGATGGTGCGCAGCTTTCACATGCGAGAGAACTCGGAGATGGCCCTCTTTGCTGTGGAACATTTCAACCGCCGAGAGCAACTACAGATGCGGTGTTATGTATGGACGTGAATCCTCCGTTCTGGCCCGCCAACGATGCCACCGGGTCCAAGAGGCAATACGGCGTCACTCACCAAAATAGCCAAGACTCCGCTGTAAAAATTTGATCAAGCATGAGGCTTTAAGTGAGCGACTACAACACTGCGCGGACACAGACCAGTCCAATCACACGCTATTATCAAGAAGCTTACTCTGCGGTACACGGGTGGGTTGCATCCTATGCGTCGGGATATTCCCCCATCACTCTCCATCACAATGCGATCACCATGCAGAGACGGGTATGTAACGGGTAAGGGCATTGAGCATATCCGCGACATTGGGGTCCTTTGCAGGCGCCTCCAATTGGAATTAAAATGTCTTTTTAGTGTACACTACATACATGTGGCAGTCGCATGGTTGCAGAAAGAGCCTCTGCACATCTTGACGATCTGTGACCGAAGAGCAGATCTTGGTGGTGATTTTAGATTGGGAACAGCGATAGTGAGTGGGTTAGTTTATCACTCTGTCTGATATAGTCGTCAGGTCTAGGCAATTTCGTCGAGTCGCATTTGGTGCTGCCGACGTCGCATTGCTTCGGTACCCGGAAACTGACAAGACTGTTTTGGTAAGGTTCCAAGATTGTGTTTTCCTATTTGCAGTCAGCCTTCACTTTGTACTTTCATGAAAGAAGGTTTACAACCAGGGACGTCCCTTTTGCGCAGCCGTTTCATGTGCTCAAGCGAACCATGACAACTAGGCCGGAAAACAAGGGCAAATCTCTCGGGCTGATCCCATTTTCAGAGATGCCGAAAGTGGATGTCCATCCCCATGGCCATGAATTGCAGTGGAAGCGAGCGGTCAAGTACATATCAGCTAGGCGAGCCAGGCGAGTGCCAGGGCTCTTCAGCCCCCCCCATGGCCTCCACTGAGCTGATGATGATCCTTCCCGATCCAGAAGCCGGCAGCTCGCGGAGGAGCTGGGATGGATGCAAATGACAAAGAGTTCAGTTGGTGGTGTAAAAGATGTGCAAGTCTTTGCGTTGCTACACCCATCCGGATATTTTACACTACCTATGTACAGCTTGAAGAATCACATGCATATCACTCCAACATATCGACAAAGTTGCATCAAACACCAAACCATGGATTTTCCGTCTTTACCTACTTACCTTCCAGAAACAGAAGGAATATCACATGTCTTGAGACACACAGACTTCAGTTATCAATCAACTACCGATACCCATTCATCCATTCATCCAGTCAATCCAGACCGCCAACCATGGAGCATTGGGCCATGTACTAAATCTGCCCGAGATTCAGTGCAATCTTATCGCCCATAGCTGTTCCCGGTGGGCGCGACGATCACTACCGTTGGCAGCATAGTTGTAGCCAGACTAGATGACAAAGCCAGTTTGCCGCCCACGCTGGCTGTGATTGTCGCGGAGATGGTCGGCCAGGTACTCTGGCAGGGGACAACTGGACGACCATTGAGAGCAAGGAGCTTATACATTTGCTGGATGGGGCTTGTGGGGGAGAGCAATGAAAAAGAATCTGGAGAATCCATGAGGGCTTGGCATGTACCTAACGGGGTACTAGTGTACCTTAGGTAGTGTACACTACTGGGGGGTCACAGAGAAAAGGAAGGAAGGAACTGAAAGAGAAAGTGGAAAGAGTGACAACCCATGGAAGAAAACTTTGCCATCACTGTTACAGCCGTTTCTTGTCACTGTCATCAACTGTAGCAGTCACAGTGGAGGGCCGTCGATCGAAGATGCTGAAAGACCACGTTGAGAAGGAGAACTTTACTGGTGGCTTCACTGGACCCCTTTCGGCCCTCAATTGCATGCACCCTGAAGCGCCCCGAACGGACACTAACAGACTACTATTCCCTGCTGGATTTCCCGTCCTTCCTTTCTGGATGTCTTTCCGTTGTCTGTTGGTCATCGAAACTGAAATTTGTTCCTTCACCACGAGGCGAAAATCCTACCTCGTGTTCCTAGTGGAGCTAGTGCCGTGATGACCTGCACGACTCCCCAGTCATGTGAGTTGAAGCTATCGCCAAACCGAATTCAGGCAAACACTTCTTTGCCATTGGCAGTTAGTTTAGTTTGTTCAGAAGTTGATCCGCAAGCTCGGAACAAAACGTGATGTCTCATATCGTTCTAGGTTTCTCACATTATTCCCGGAGAAGAAGATTGTAATGTCATGCAATTGGATACACACAGTAAGACACCCAAGAAGGTCTAGACGAGCGGGATTCTGCGCCGATGAGTATGACCATCAACGGGATTGATCACTACCGATTGCGCTAACAACCACAGCTTATGAGGAACTGGCCAATGGTCTTCTTAGGTATACATCGACCTTTACGAATCACAAAGGATCAGGTAGTTCCGGTGCAAACGGTGATAGCTCACTCCACCCCACGGGGCATCGTTCCGGCACAGCTCCCGTCTCCGGTCTTCGGTCCCCCGCGCACGCCAAGTAGGATGCTTATTTTCATCTTTACCTTTCTGTTTCCATTGTTGCCCCTCTCTTCGTTGATAGCCATTACAAACGCTGTCTCAAACATCCAGTGGCGCAGTCGCAGCTTTCTGATTTTATACTCTGGCCATCATCAGTCCGGCTATCTGTCTCAACAACCACACCCACTACACCACCAACCCGCTTTCACCACTCTCTCTGATCAGTATCATCTAGATCTTGCCATAGATGAAACCAAGCAAATCGACTTCATCCCCGCTCTCTCCCAAGAACCCCACAACCTGCCACCCCTCCTCCGCCTCAAACACCTTGCAGTCACTCGTCCTGGTGCCTGCCTCCAGCGTCCTTCCCTTGGACGTAGTAGCCTTGATGTAAAAGTTGCGTGTCTTGTCACTCTTCTGACCCTGGCACAGCTCGGACTTGACCCAGGACTCCCCATCAGCCAGCGTCAGCGACACCTCGGACCCTCCCTGTCCACCATGCACCAACTCTGTGGTTCCCTGACCACTTGACGATGAGACCGTAAGACCAACGCTATCAAGACGGTTTTCACCGCGGAAAGTGATCTTTCGCGCCTTGATCGATCCCGTAGTGGAATCAAGGGTAGACACATCGTTGAACCAATTCCCATACGCCGCCCCGCCCCAAAACCCGCTTTGTCGGAACCGGCGGTCGGCAGCCGACCAAGTCAAGTTGACCAGCACGGGATTATGATCCGACAAGACACTGACCCCGTCATCCGCCAAGAACCTGGGACCAGCGTACTCCAACGCCGTCGGCGTGAGTTGTACCAGGGGACTACTTCGGTAAAGAACCTTATCCACAATCTCACAAGCCGCGTCCTCCGCCGGGTTTCCACACACGCCCGCATCGTTCGGAACAACTCCATTACGATGGAGTTCAACCCAGATATCTTGTAGTCCTGCAGCCCCCGTCGGGTTCTCCAACTTCAGTAAAGACCGAATCCCCGTGTCTCCCGAGCGTGAATAGCGCGAGTTGGTATCGCCAAATACCAACACGGCGTTTCCCTGACTGTGCGTCTGGATCCACTCGCCCACCTGCCGGAGATTGTCGTTGCGCGCTTCGAGATCGGCCGTCTCGGTGCCGGCGTCGGTGTGCATGTTGTAAAAGTCTACGTAGACAGCGTCGGTGGCGTCAGAAGAAAGGGCGATGCGCATAAACGTGAAGCCCTTGGGCGTCAGGCAGTCGAATTCCGAGGCGCATGAGGACTTGGCCCATTTTTGACGCTGGAAGGAGCCAGAGAGCCAGGGAAAGTTGGAGAGGGTGTTGAGGCCGGAGCCGAAGGGGACGCCGCCTGAGGTTGGGGTGCGGTAGGGGTGCGTGTCGGTGGAGTAGAGGGCAGCGTGGTAGTTGAAGTCCTTGTTTTTTGTTAGTTCGAGGGGCAGTATGAGGGCGGCGGAGAAGTATGGAGAAGGGAGGTGGTGACATGGATGTTTGGGGTGTGGTTTTCGGTCTCAAGCGAGACCGGACTGCAGATGCGGAAGCAGTGGGTGCATCATTGATGTAATGTGTAAGACGGAAAATGCAGACGCGTCTCAGAGACCTGCATGCCGTTCCTGCGCCGCAACATGCCTTCCCGCTTCCTGTCTTTGCCTCCAGTCCTCTACTTTCCTGCCCCCAAACACCCGACTACATCCAACCGACCCCTCTCCCGGAACAATCACTGACAAGAAACAAAACTCACCTCCTGCACATGAATAACATCATACCCATACTGCGCAAACTTGCTTCCGATCGTCTTGGCGCTGGCCTCCTTGCCTCCCGGGACGCCATTGGGGTTGAGGACCTCGGGCAGGCCAGCCACGTTCATAGTCAGGATGGTGAAGTCGCCCGAGGTCGCGGCTGCCGCGAGGGCGCCTTGAGCGAGGATGGTTGCGGCGGTGAATTTCATCGCGAGAAGCCTGGGCAGTCGCTGGGGATCTGATGTCTGCTCCTGGACCTGATGAAGGATGGAGGGATGGAGGACTAAAAAGGAGGAGGAGGTGACCGGGCAGATATGAACGAAAATCCACCGTCTTTATGACCTCCAGTCACTGCCGTCCTCGACGTCGAGATTAAGAAAAGGGAAGGTAACCTGTGATCGTCACCATGCATACATGTGCCCTGACAGGCGACAGGAACCTGGCCCCTACACTATATCGCTGTTCATATACCTTACCTTACCTTCCCCTTCCGATCATCTCCCGTTCGACTGACATCTTTTTCTGGCCTGTGACAGCCGCACGTGTTGTCCCCTCCCACCATATCTCACCATATCTCATCCCAGCAACCCAGAACTTGCCCACCGGTTTCTAAGCCGAGTTTACTACACGTATAAACGGAAACCGTTGAGCTTCACGCATCTCCTTTTGTTTTTTTCTCGCTGCTTTCCGAGATCTACAGTATCCCCAAGTTCCCAACCCCCCTTCGTCTCGCGAACTCGTGTGATTTTGGTGACATCGGCCCGGTTGCCAAGACTCGGGCAAGCATGGCCTGGCGTGCTGCTACCGTTTACCGAGAGATCGATCGCTCAACGGTTCGGGCCCTTCTTCTTTTCCTTTAGTTAAGGAGAGGTAAGCGGATGTATATGAAGAAAGGCAGTGAAGGGGGACAGGAGGATGAAAGTAGCGCTGGGTGTTTAAGATCCGGTTGGATGAAGAATTTGGGAAAGTCAGTAAGGTGTTGCCGGTGTACATTCCCATGAGCAACCAAGCGCTTAGTGTAGAGGTCAACTGGCAAGCGCGTCAAGGCCCATTTTGAGAGGAGGGGTGTTGCATTCGCCAGTATGGCAAAGAGGCAAGGTAACACTTGCAAGCGCTACATGTAGGATAAACGTCCGAAGGGTAAGCTAGGCGGGAGAAGATCGGTTGATGCGCGGTGACCGGACGGCTGTGATGCCCAGAGACCGGGACGAGTCGTGTGGTAAACGTAAGATAGGTAGGGAGGTAAAAGCAAACGCATCTTTTCGCCGTTGCCGTGGACATTCCGGTCAGCATAGTACAATGGTTGTCTGTTAGGGCTGGTATGCTTTCAGCGACTGGTTACCGCTTTTCGGTGGGTACTGTGCTAACATTATTTTACTTCCAGGTCACAGAGGGCGGAGGCCGGTGGTCCAAGCGCGCAGTGACAAGACCACGGCGGCTGATCGACCAGGCGAGTGAGCGCATCAATTCCCGCCTCTGTATAAAGACAGCAAGAGGGGACCTATCGGCAGTAAGGTACTTGATGGCTATCTGGTAGTTATGAAAGGTGTAGGTATTGAATTGTATACTGCCCCTGATGAGCGGCGTGGTGTGGGTTGAAGGGGTACACTGCCTCCCCACCATAGGTACCCGGGCCGCCGTGCTCACCAGCCCGCTGTAAACAAAAAGCCGCTACCGACATTTCTAGCCGGGGACAAGTACCGTTAAGCACATCTTGCATCTGTTTTTTTTTACCTACGCATTAAACAGGTGGGATGCTGCCCAAAAAGGGCTTCGAAAATATTTTGTCTGAAGCATTTTGGGAGGAATCTGGTTTTTCCTTGTTGGACGGAGAATCGAGAGCGAGTGTCTCCATAGGATGTACTTGCCCCTTGGTAGCGACACTCGCGATTCTAGCTCCAAGCAACCTCCTTTTTCAATAGTTTTCTTGGTCACATTTCGCCGTCTAGCCAAAAGAAAGATACAAAGTAGAATTGAAGGCGAGTATACTGTCTAATACAGATCCTCAACAAAACTAGAGGAGTTCCAATAACGTCACGTCATGTCATGTTAAAATATAGACGGAAAAATTCATCATCATCCATCTCTTTATCCTGTACCGTCTCCTCATCCTGTGCCGCCTTCTCATCCGTCTCCTCATCCGTCTCTTTTGCAGTCTCCATCGGCTCGCCCTGGCCCTCCACTTCAGGCTGATCCTCAACAAGAGTCGTGCTCCTGTTGTCCTCAATTCTTTTCACAAACTTGTTGACGACCTTTTCAAGCTCATCGTCCAGTTCCCTTCCGAACTCCTTTCTCATCTCGAGAAATTTAGACCAAGAGGAACGTTGGATCCTCCATTTCGGGTACTCCATGATTGAGATCAAGAAGGGTCTTCGTTTCTGTCTTCGTTTCTCATTTAATTGCTTTGGTTGATCCCTCCTGTTCTTGCTCTTATACCCCAACTCTTTTGTGAGACGCTTGACGTCGCTGAATACCGGGTTCGCCGTGGACAGTAGCATGTCGAAAACCAATTCGACTTTGGCTATGTGCTTCTCGGTACCGCCAATTCTTACAGCACCCAGAACCTTCCATACGCATTTCTCGTCCGCCTGGTCGGCATGACCGTTACTCAGTAGGTATTGAATTGTGTCCGATACAGTGTCGATCCTGTGAGGTTTGCAAGCTGATCGAAGGAGGTTGACACTCTGGCTCATGTCTACCTTTCCAGAGGCCTGCATAAAACGTAATACCGGAATTTGACCTCTGGCAGCTGCCGCTTCTGCCGCCGTGGGACCTTGGTGGGATTTGTTCGGTTCTATGCAGTCGTGGTTGAGAAGTAGATCGATTATGTTAATGTGCCCGTTTCGTGCTGCAGCATGTAATGATTGGATCCCGCCCATGGACTTTATATCCGCTCCTCGCTGTATCAACAACTCACATATTTCCAGTTGACCATTCCTTGCTGCTGCTTGGAGTGGTACTTCGGAGGAAATGTTGACGTTCGCACCGTTGGATATCAGTAACTCACATATTGCCAGATGGCCCTTCTCCGCTGCTTCTTGGAGTGGCTGTTCATTGTCGATGTTGACGGACGCGCCGTTGGAAATCAACAGCTTACAAACTTCCAGATGACCCTTCTTCGCTGCTTCTCGGAGTGGCATTCCACGAGAAATGTCGACGGACGCGCCGTTGGAAATCAACAGCTTACAAACTTCCAGATGACCATTCTCCGCTGCTCCTCGGAGTGGTGCTCCATCGTCGATGTTAACGTTCGCACCCTTGGATATCAACAAATCGCAAATGTCCTCATGTCCCATTGCGGCGGCGATTCCAAGTGCACATGTGTAGCCCCAATTATTTATCTCCTTCTTCCCCGCATCGGTTTCCAGCAGCTGCCTCACTCTCTCGGTGTCGCCTCTTCTACACGCTTCGCGGAGGCTACTCTCGCTGGAGTCTCCAGAACCGCTAGACGAAACTTCTAGTTTGGGAAAGATGGGAAAGCTATTGGCGTCGTCTTTCTGAGCATGCCACTTCGTATTGTGCTTCTGAAGTTCGTCTTCTGTACTGAATCCCAGCTTAAATCCCATGCAGCCATCATATGCACACCGATACGGAAAGTCGTGCTCATCGATGTGCTTTCGTCGGTATGACTCACTCGCGAGTCCCCCCTTGAACAAGCCACACCAGGGTTTTGAGCACTTGTATAATGTTCTGGACCCGTGGAGGTTGCCAAAGACTCTCTGCTCTTCCGCAGTAAAGGTTCCAAAGTCTAGTTTGGCGATCTTTTGCCGAAGCGACTCTGTTCGTATGTCGATGCAGAGAAAGGAGTTGCGTTCTTGGCCATGAGTTGGTAAGTACTTGGTTGTTGCAACAGCGAACTCCGTATAAGTTTCTGCTTGAAGTAGCTCTGCCATCTTTCCCCGGTTTCCATAGGACTTGAGAAAGATCCGGGCGAGGTTGAAAACATCCTGGCATCTGTCACGGTCCGAAATTGGGTCAGGGGAGTTGATGCATTCGAGAACATGGTCGAACCAGTACTGGACTGTATAGTCTTGTAAGGCGTAGTATCCCTTTTTGGCATACGACAACACATCTTCGTCCGTAACTCCGATAGTGAAGGGCGGCGATGAAAGGTATTGAAAACAGAATATCGAGAGCCTGGAATTCAGGTCATGGATGTTCACTCTGTTCTTCTGTATGAGGAATCTGTTTGACGTCATAAATCAGTCAAGGTACCTAGGTAAAGGTCAGGAAGACTAAGGGGTGAGAACTTGCTCGCGAGCTGTTTCATGTACTAGTACCACCTCGTCCTCGGGTCCAGTGTAGTTCTTGTTCAAAGAATTTGAGTCCAGGAAAGAGCTACAGAGCTCCTTGTAGCTCTTAATCATCAGTTTCTTGTGGACTACTTCCCCTTTCGACGCATCGATACAGAAGAAGGCCTGTATTTCCCTCCAGAAGAGCGTACGCTTGCAGCTTATAACGTAGCTCAATATTTCGCTCGCAGCGGCGCTTCTCGGGCGGGCGGACTTCTCAAACACACGTTCGTCGACCTTTTTGTAACTGTCACGAATTATATGTTGTCTTAGCTTTGTTTGGTACCCAGGTAGTCACAAGATCTATCTTTCCACATTAAAGAAGTGCAGTGTGGACTTACGCTTCCTCTAGGCTGTCAGGAAAGACCCCTGGCTTCAGTTGCTCCTCCAAGTCATGGACCGACGTTTGGTCGAGTAGATACTCGAGGACTATCTTTGCATAAAGGAACATGCCTAGGTAGTATGAGATGAAAATCGGTCAGTCGACTATTAAGCAGCTAACAGGAAGATCGGATGTGATATACCATTGGCTCCTCTGGAAACAAGTTCCATGATTGTCTTTTCCAAGGACGGTTCCGCATCGAAGTCTCTGCATATCTTCTTAGAACCCTTTTGACAATACGCCGTGATGTCGCGGTGATGCTCGGTTGATGTGTCAAGAGATATTGATGGTTGGGAAGACAAGAGTCTATCCGTGACATTGTCTCTTTGGCCGGCGACAATGACTCTCAGTCCAAGGACGGACTGGCTCAGGCCCAAGAGCCATTCAATGATGTCTTCTTCTTCCTCACTCTGGCACTCATACAGCCCATCAAGAACCAAGTAAAGCGTTGCCTGAGTTCCTGCAGCTTTGCAAACGAGATCCTTCCATTCCTTTTTAGAGCTGAGTCGGAGTTGGTCGTTTCTTGACATGTTGGTAATCGAATCGGTCAGGTCAGGGTCTTGATCGATGAGCTGGTACAGAAGTGCGCGCAGGAGATTGTCTAAGTTGCCCCTGGACGCGTTCTTGTCTTCTTGTAACTGACGGAAGTAAAAAAAGGCCACAGCAGCGCCAGCCGTTTTGTTACCCAATAGTCGTTCAATAACGGTGGACATCAAGGTGCTTTTTCCTGTGATGTCCAGTCTGTCAGTTGTTTGCCCTGCTTGTGACTTGGGGACAGAATAACTCCAGGGAAGGAAAGTCTTACCACCACCTGGTTTCCCATGAACATAGAGTATCTTGCTCCCAAAAAGACTGCTGTCGTGCCACACTCGATATTTGGGGTCTGCGAAGATCCACTGCCCTGAATCGGCGGCCTTTTTTCGCAAAAGTTGCTCGTGATGCTGCAGGTAGTTTGGAGGGTCCAACCTTTTCTTGATCAGCTCTTTCAGCTGCTCATGCTTCATTTCCTCCACCAGCCTCTTCATATCGGCTTGTTCTCTGCCATTTTCTTTGATCTCCTCCAGTGCCTGGTGGATCTCATAGAGGGTCGCCGATGCCTTTTCACTGTCCAGAAGCGCTCTGCGGCTATCTAGACTTTGGAGAATAGGTCCGAACTTTGAGTCGAACCTTTTCCAGGCAGCGTCAAAGAGCATCTTCCAGTCTGTAAAAGCGTCAGAGCTGTGTCAGCTTCATGAAAGGATAAGGGCTCTGCAGTAACATACTCGGTCGCCTGAAAACCTCTATTGCTCGTTCGTGGAAGTTGAGAATGTCAGAGTAATAGTCCTCGAGCACTTTGGCCAAAGGTGGATGGCTTTGAAAGGCTTCTTTATATCGTTCCAGGCCCGGAATACTGGAAGCAATCTTTCCATACGCCTCGAGGAGCTTATTGAGGGAATCGAGGTGTGTTTTTGCAAGCTGTGGAGGGCGAGGCATACGGTCAGTGCAAGAATGCTACGCACAACATGGAACGTGTACTCACCCCAAGAAGGAATTTGATGGGGCCCTGTGATCAGAAAGTCAGTGGAATGAATGTATATAATGGAAGGTAGTAGTATATAACGGATATCACGTCACCGTACCCAGATGAAGCATATGAAATCGCATGCGTTTGTGAAGACCTCAATAACGGTACCAAGCTGGGTTATTGCTTCAATGAAGGGCTCGAGCCGCTGGAGGTGGCGGAGCTTTCCTTGCGGTCCCTGCTCATGCTGAATCTGGTCTGCCAATACCCGGACATCTTCCAGTGTACTGATGGAAAACTGCTGGGCAAGGCTTGGATCGAGACCCTGTTTGAATTTGGCCAGGGCACGCGCAAAACCGTCTTGGCGTTGCGACGGTGGCATGGTGGGATGTGGATGGCGGCACGACAGCGAAAGCGAAGACAACGTCGGTCGACCTTTTGTAGTGGGGAAAGCATCGGTGAAGATCGGGTAGACAACATCACTTATTCAAAAGAGAAGCGGACTTTATCAATAGGAGGAATGGACAAATTGAGCGATGCTGGAGTGAGGCGCATTCCAGAGTTTGACAGCAAAGGTGCAGATTGCCGAAGGTTGGGTTGCTTCAGTTGTCATGACGTGTCAGGCTCACTGGGCGATGCCCAAGTAAGGCTCCCACCCCGAGACTGGAGTGTACCTTCCCGCTGACGGCCATGTACGCCATATGAAGGTAGACGGAGATTGCGACCCTTTTAGACAAGGGGCAATTCACGCTACTGAACATCCATAAGCCACTCCAGTCACCATCACCCCCTCCTTCCCTCGCGTGCCCACCCACACCAGTGATTGGACATTGGAACTGCCCAAACATGGCAGTGCTTACACGTCAATACAAGTACAGCTGAAGATCATCACTTTGAGCAATTGAGCTGAGTGGAAAGCAAGCCGCGAAACATGGATCATGGACGACCTCTCATACCTCTCTACCTATGTCTCCAATCAACATGAGTCAAAACATACCTATGACTTCGCCACGGTCTGGCAGTCCAGCCCAAATAGTCCCCATGTCTCCCATGTCGTGGCAGTCCGATACCGTTCAGCATATCTCTACGTTGTAGGTTGGTGTCGAAAACCTCAGTAGGTACCTACCTCTAGGTATATTGACACGCAGCAATGGCATCCGATCATCCTACAACCAAACGACGTTTCTCAGACACGCTCAAAGAAAGCGCTGCGAGCAATCGTCCCATACTGATCTGCTATGGAGCCGTAAGTCTTCAATGAGCCGCTTCATGACCGCACATTCCCATGAGTTCAAGGATTTTGATTGATTGACTAGGTACTCACATGACTGTCATCAGTTATTCGACGGAAAAGCCCAGTGTCTCGATGGGGTTGAAGCACTTAAAAGCCAACTCCAACACACCAGCAACCATGTATCATTCGTCTCTTTTCCCGTGACGAGGTTCGGGAGCTTCTTCTGTTTATCGTCCGAAGACGGGACAGCAGTTGCTGTTGTTGACCAACGTACACAAAACTGGCTCGCGGCTCTGGATCACATACCCAATGTCCGATTCGACGCACTTCTTGCCGCAGGATCCCTGATAAAACGGGGAAAGGGAATCAAGAAGGGTGCAGTGCTCGACGGGATGTCAGTCAATGTTTATGGTTCCCAGGACAAAGCTGTCGAGCATGATGCTGCCGACAAACTGGGAAAAGTCGCCGCCTTTCTTCAACATCCGAGAGAACTCAGCCGGGAAGTTGTTTACTCCAATCCCCAGTGGCTTACGCTTCCTGGCCGTGACCGAAATATGAACCATCTCGTCGGAACCTATATCAACGACGATTCTCTGTGGGCTGCCAGAGCAAGAATTGCTAATGAGATCAACGGTATCCTGGATTCATTGGACGAGATGTCTTCTGAGGCCGCACTCCAGTTTTACCCTCCTTTAGGTCTAAGATCCAAGCTGAAGAGGTACGCTTCCACTCTCGTGTCTCTATGGACTCTGGCCAAGCACGGACACATAACTATGGTGCTTGCTAACTGAACACCCAGGCATCAGATACAGGCCGTTACCTTCATCCTCAAACGAGAACCTGGAAACCGGTTTTCTCAAGCTTCGAAAGCTAGTGTCAGCACCTCCATGCGCCCACGGTATGTCTTCCTATCAAACACATTCAGACACCAAACGTACGGCACAGTGCTGACAGATGCCTACCTACCTTACCTTCAACTATGAAGTAGCCTAGGAGTTTCTCAAGAAAATCACGGTGGGCTCATTGCCGACGTGATGGGAATGGGCAAGTCACTTACAATCCTCACAACGATCCTATGCACTATAGAGGATGCTCGCAACTTTCCCCATTTCTCTTTCCAGTCGCAAAACGTCGCTGAACCAGACCAAAGAACACCAACACAAGCCACTCTGGTTGTTGTACCCTCAGCGCGTAAGTGTCTGGTCGGTTTAACCCTGCGTTCCGAACTTGTGCTGACTGCTCAAAGAGCTCATGCACAACTGGGCAGCAGAGATAGCGAGGTATGTCCACCGCACAGCACTTTATCTCTGAGTTGCTGGCACCTCGGTGAGCTAATGCGAACTACGTACCTCTAGTCACATGCCTGGAGCCCTCAATCTCATCCTGTTTCATGGTCAAGGTCGACCCAAGAACCCTGAGTCGCTGGCGTCAACTGATGTGGTTCTTACTACGTACGGAACGCTTGCTGCTGATTACAAGAAGGCTGGCTCCGGCTTGCTTCAGAAAATGGACTGGTATAGAGTTGTTCTCGATGAAGGTTAGAACTGAACTATCCATTGCAGTGTATGTGGTCAATATAACAAACCCCTTGCTGATCAGGAAATAACAGCACACTGGATTCGAAATCCACCCTCTCAGCAATTCCGAGCGGCTACCAGTCTTAGCACGAGCCGCCGATGGTGCTTAACGGGTACTCCCATACAGAATAAGCTCGATGATCTGGCGTCTCTCGCCCAGTTCCTTCGAGTCCCGCCGTATCCTGACAAAAACGTGTTTCGGAAACATGTGCTTGAACCTCTTGAAAAGGGGAATCAAGGATGTGCTGATCCCTTACGGTCATATCTTTGCCAGCATTGTCTTCGCCGCACCAACAAGTGTCTTAACCTACCCAACTTATCCGAAAAGACCCTCTATCTGCAACTCTCAATGGAGGAACAGGAGACATATGACAAGATTATGAGCACCGCGAAACGTGCACTGGATGACATTGTCAGTACCGCCGACAAGACCAAACAGGTCAAAAAGGAGAAAGTCATCGTGGTCTTCAGAACTCTTACAAGCTTGCGTAGGCTGTGCGACCTCGGAACGTTGCCACCTATTCAGTCTTTGCCGGGCGACCCCGGACAGCCAATCGAGGATGCCGACATGCTGTGTGAGCTTTGTTCATCGCAAGATGCGGATGAATCTTTGCTGTTGAAGGATCATCAATTCTGCCCCGAGTGCTCACGACCACTTCGCTCCAAAAGATCAGCAAGCAAAACTGGCTATCTCACGCCAGCCAGTTTGCCAGGGAATGTCAGCGATCGCGCAATGAGCCCCCTCATCCTGTCCATGGACAATGGCCACTCGACAAAGCTCTTGAAGGTCAGAGACAACGTGCTCCACTCCCTCCAAGCTGAACCTGGCATCAAGCAGTAAGTACCTTATCTTGTGACAGGCAGCACCTCGACTCATATCAGCTAACGCTCTGCCAGTCTGATCTTTTCCGCTTGGACATCATCCCTCCGCTATCTCTCCCAGCTTATGCAGCAAGCTGGAATTCCTCACGCACAGATCGATGGACGAACCAGTAACGCAGAGCGTCTGAGACATCTCAAGGCTTTTCAGGAAGACCCTCAGGTCCCTGTCCTCCTCATGTCAATTGGCACAGGGGCTGTCGGGTAAGCAACTACTCATCTCACCATTTCACGTGTCTCCTCACCTTTCATCACCTTTCCTCACCGAGTAAACCCTCCTACCTCACGTCCTCTCTTCCCCACGCCTTCATCTCCTTCGGCCATACAATATTATGTACCTCTACTAATACCTCCCCAATCCACACAGCCTCACCCTCACGGCAGCAAGCCACGTCCACATCATCGAACCGCAGTGGAACCCCTCGGTCGAGGAACAAGCCATTGGCCGAGCGCGACGCATGGGTCAAACGAAGGAGGTCGTAGCGACGAGGTACATCATGAAGGGGACTGTTGAGCAGGTGAGTCCATTGCATTTTTACAAAGAATCAAACACAACTTTCTCCTCTTCCAAACCCCCCACAGAAAAAAAAAAAAAAAAAAAAAAAAAAAAAAAAAAAAAAAAAAAAAGGACAAAAGCCAGAGCAAGATGGAAGAGGGAAGCAACGGAAAAAAGGCACGGCAGAAACGAGAAGAAAACCTGAGGAAAAGGAAAAAAAACATGAGCTAACACAATACACCAAAGAGTATACTCTCCCTCCAACAAAAGAAGAAGAACATTGCTCGCTTCACCTTTGGTACGGCCAGCGGTGATGCGGTGAGCGAGAGACTGGATGTAAGTACCTATCCAATCTTGAACTGATCTCCGCCTATCACTCGCCAGCAAAAGAAAAAAAAAGAGAGAACGACCGGTTCATGTTGCTGACATGCTGTTGTTGCAAATGCGTGCAGGACTTCAAATTCGTTTTGGATGCCAAACTTTCGTGAAGGAAGATGTGTGCATTGGCGCAGGCGATTGATGTTTTTTTATGTTGGGAAGTCCGTTGCGGAAGGACAAGGTGATCTTGCGGGTACATATATCTACCTACCTACCTTCCCTCTACATGTAGAGATGGGAAGGTAGGTAGATAGTTGTAAACACCACAAACGAAAAGCCAAACGAGACAGACAGTAGTTGTTGATTCTTGCTGTCAGTTATGTGAGATCTTTCCTCTCTCGCCGTGCCGCTTGCCATCTCAGACACCCAAATTGTACATGTAAAGGAACCAATGTGAGGGCTGGAATGATGCGGGTCTCAAAAGAAAAGAGCCAAGGCGTTATTCGGTGTAAACGAGTCCCTCTCTGCAATGGATGACGACCTTCCCTAGGTACCTAGAGGTACACTCCACAACATCTAATTCTCCTGTCCTTCACGTCGTCGTTTAAGACGCTCTTCAAACGCCTTGAAATCATCCTCAGTATATCCTTGACCCGCTACAAGATACATCAGAACCAGTCTGTCAGATGAGGAAGAGGTACTGGTACTGACTGTACGGCTCAAACTTGGCCAGCTCGTCCCATCGCTCATTCTCCAGGTGGTCCCAGGCCGTTTTCACGGTGCCCTGTGGGAGGTAGATTTCCTTATAGACGCCCTTATCATCCGTGTACGACATGAAGTTGGCTTCGGCAGTCTTGAGGTGTTCGCCTGACCGCGGGAGGCATACACGGTATTTGACGCCGTTTTCATCCGTGTAGAAGACGTTGTTGGGATCGGTAATTTTGGTGAGTGTGGAGACCAAGGGCGGCTCCATGTCGGGCTCAGGTTCGGGGTCAGGTTCGGCCTTTGCTTTATCTTTTTTCGATGGGTCCATGATGGGCTGCTTCTGTGAAAGCTCAGTTGTAGGTTGAAAGCGGTTGGAAATCGAGAGGATGGAATCAATCCATACCAGCGTAGAGATACCAGATATAGGCAGGCAGACAGGGCGGGGAGTTGCATGTGGTGGGCTTACTACCTTTACTTAACGTATACGTGCCATGGTCATCTGGTCTCCATGTCGTTCGATTTTACTCTCGGCCCCCAACCCAGCAACTCGGGATGGCGGAGCTCAGGGCGACCACAGCGATTTATCCATTGGCTGGAAGCTCTATCGCCTCCCAAATAGTGTAACCGCTTTGGCCTGGGCCGAACCTTAAAGAGTTAGCCACCGAGTCGTTGGCGCTAGAGAATCAAGGTAAGGTACCATCACAGAAATACGCCCTAAGCGACCTAGTCAGAGGTAGAGTAGCGACTGGCTCTGGAAGGAGCCATCCGATGTAGCATGAAAGTCCTCGTGCGTTGAGTTTTTCCCGTAAGTGGTCGAGCTCTAATACGACCATTCGTCTCCTCCTCCACTCCTTTTAACTCATCTCATGCCCATAACCCCCTCCTCCTTCCCTCCCATTTTGATATCTCCGGATCCCAGGAGGCTGATCCTCCCACCCACTACTCATCTCCACCGGCTCAATCTTCACCGGCATCTCCACCACCTTCTCGACCGACAACACCTCATGCGACCCGTCGCTATGTAGTCCCTGCTGCTCGTGTGCGTAACCGCCTCTTTCGAATCCGCTTTCCATCTCTCTCGGTCCCCAACCACCACCACCGCCTTCCGCGTCTCTCACGTGTTGCGCCACTTCAGGAGGCCGGTAGTACGGTTGGCCACCGGTGTCTGGACTATGGCTTAGAGGTAGGTTCGCCCTAAGAGGTAGGTTTGTAGTCATGCTGGGGGTATCGTCGTCTTCCGAAGAAGACGAAGAAGAAGAAGATTGATCGCTGCCGTCGTTGCCATTGCCGTTACCGTTCAGGGGTTCGGAGACATTGTGCGCAGCTTGTTTCCGTCGTCGATCTCGGACTCGGTAGGCCCAGACGAGGTAGGCGGCGAAGCCGAAGGCGCAAATGATGGCTAAACCACCAATGATGCCGCCTACTATGGCGCCGATGTTGGCCGAGTTGTTATTGCCTCCACCGTTGCCGCTCGTCTGAGATGGGGTGGGGGGAGTTGATGGCGAGGAACCCGACGAGAAGGAGGAAGAGGACGTAGTGGTGGTCACGGCAGGATTGCGAATGGCATCGGCCTGCGAAGCCGTGTAATGACTTATGCCGGTGGTCCAGCCGCAATCAATTCTCTGGAAGGGACCGAGCCCGTTGTCGAGCGTGAGATAGGCGTTTACGCAGATGGAAGCTCGAATGGTGTTCCCGGAGGAGTCTTGACTTGAACTGTCAAACGGTCAGTTGACTTTCCTGTTCTTCACGGTCACTCTTTCATTTTTTCTTCTTGCCTCCTTTCTTCCTGTTCGCGCAAGTACAATTTCTCATACATCCAAGTTCACAGAGAAAAAGAGAGAAAAGAAAAGAAGACCTACCACAGCGCAGTGCTCAAATCCTTCCTATCCAGAAAGCCACACCCATCTTTACACTTGTCTTGATCGAAACAAGCTCCCGGCATCCAACAGTTGCCTACGACTTGCTTGTTTGACAGGCAGAAATTCCATAATCCGCGGTTAAAGTCGACCTGGATCTGCAAACGGGCACCGGCCGTCCGTATACTTGTGTTTTCCTGGTTGTGAATCTGCGAGTAGCGAGATGCGATGGATTTTGATATCAACGCTGGTGGAGTGATGAGAGAGTCTGGTTCTATAAGGGTCGGTGATGCCCTTTTTTGGTTGAGGAGTGTTGTCGGGGTTGGCGCAGGCGGCGCTCGCGATGAAGACATGTCAGATTTAATCGTTCAATTGGAATCCTGGCTACTTTTCGAGGTTCAAAGAGCGACTGACTGGAGCTGGATGCAAAAACATAAGAGATGAAGTCCACCGTGATAATCGGCGCCTTTTGGTGTTTCAATCCAAGATAGACGAGAGGCAGATGCGATGGACCGGGTAGAAACACTCGAGGCTTCGTTCCGTGCCGCTTCCGATATTACATTACAGCGATAGGTCACCTCCCGAGAAGCAACCGAACTTCAGCTTTGGTGGCTGACCAGCGTAACTCAACTGCCAATAACAAGCATCCGTGTAGGACAAGCCAGGACTGGAGGTTACACCTGCTAGGGCTGAGGTGTCTCGGCATCGTGGCGTTCCCTATCGAAGGAAGTGAATGGAGTTGAAGACTGGACGAAAGGCCGCGCTGGTGATGTGCTCGAGCGGCACCGAAGTGGCATGGTTGGGTTGGGGATTGAGAACATGGGAAAAGCAAGGTGGAAGGCTGAGGGCGGCATGATTGCACAGAGACAGTGTCATGTCTGCGGATGATGCTATTTACGGCGTCAGTGGCAACTCAAGACAGGCAGCCAGATGGTATATGAGAGACTGGCGAAACAATGAGGCCCGAGCCGAGTGATGATTGCTGACATCTAAGATTTATCAAATGGTCAGCGGTCGATGAAGAAGAGAAACTCCAAATTTGACCAGGAAAAACCAAGCCGGATACGGTATCCCGAACTTTCGGTCCTCGTGCCAATGCGTCCCGAAACGCGGGGAAAGCCGCCAGGAACCGTTGTTCAGAACCGTGACCCCCACCAAGGAAGACGTCGAGCCAAGCATCTGTAGCATCGTGGGGGGAAAACGATGATGATCTATCGATCATTGGAAGCCGCAGAGTTCATTCCCCAGGAGTCCTCGAATCCGGATTGGCTTTAACGATGGTCCCCGATGGTGATGTTCCCCTCAATGTATCCGAGGCACGTTTCCCCCGCATTATGACCACGCTGCCCAGACGCGGGGTGCAGAAGTCAGCCATGTTACCTTGATATCCCCCCATCTTCTCCACGAGAGAAATGATGTCGTTGAAGCCGGAAGACGCTTCCCCTGCGGACATACCGTGAGTACAAAACTCACCTTTACTCCCGTCCCTCATCAACCGTCTCCAAGTCCCTCGCGACTCCTCTCATCCCTTGCCAGGCGCATCACCACAACCATGTCCGCGCGCAAATCCATCCTCATCACCGGCGCCGGCGGACTCGTCGGCCCCCTCCTCGCCACCCGCCTCCTCCGCGACCCCAACTACTCCCAACACACCATCTACCTAACCGATCTCGCGCCCCCCATCGTCCCCTCCGCCTCTTCCTCCATCCCCGCCGACCGGCTCAAAAACGTCATCCCCATCCAAGGCGACATCACCTCCCCCTCTTTCGTCTCCTCCCTCATTTCCGCCACCCTCCAAGACGGCGCAAACTTATCCGCAGTCTTCATCTTCCACGGCATCATGTCCGCCGGCTCCGAAGCGAACTTTGAGCTATCTCTCAAAGTGAACGTCGACTCCGTGCGCTTACTGCTCGACGAAATCCGCACCCAAGCCCCCGGCACACGAGTAATTTACAGCAGTTCGCAAGCAGTCTACGGCCAGCCCTTACCCGCAATCGTAACAGACGACGTCACACCCACCCCGCAAAGCACATACGGCGCCCACAAGCTGATGATGGAGACGTACATCAACGATTTGCATCGCAAGGGGTATATCGAGGGGTTTGTAGTGCGCTTCCCTACCATCTCGGTGCGACCGGGTAAACCGACGGCGGCTGCGTCGAGTTTCTTGTCGGGCATCATTAGGGAGCCGTTGGCGGGGAAGGAGTGCGTGGTGCCTATTGAAGATCGGAGCTTTAGATCGTATCTGTCGAGCCCGTCGACGATTGCGGAGAATTTGGTTAGGGTGTTGGAGATGGATAGTGATAAGCTGCCGGAGCATAGGAGGAGTGTCAATTTCCCGGGGATCAGTGTCAGTGTGCAGGAGTTGTTGGATGCGCTGGAGAAGTATGGCGGGAAGGAGAAACTGGGGCTGGTTGAGGAAAAGAGGGATGAAGGGTTGGAAAAGGTGTTGAGGAGCTGGCCGACGGATTTTGATACGAGTAGGGCGGTGGGCGAATTGGGGTTGGTGGTTGATGAGGGGGTGGAGGGGTTGGTTGGCGAGTACGTGGAGAGTTTGAAGCGGAGTGAGTGAACGGAGACTTGAAGACGGGTTCTTTGGTGTTGTGTTCAGATGATAGGTTGTGCGCTCAAATGGGACGCCAAATATCTGCCGTGCTCACCACGTTCACGCCATGTGTGACTTGTAAGTGAGATACCGAGCCACGTCGTTGGTAAGCTGGTCGGTAGGAGTTTGCGACTGCCGTCTATAAGAGAGGCTTTAAGGCGAACCAGGATTCGTTGCAATAAATGCGATAAATAGCCGCGATATGAGCTCCTTTATACATTGTTTACGACCCTTCCGATCTCTGTTACTCTCCCGGTTGGGTAAAGCTGGCGAGGAAGAAGTTCTACCCTGTTCCCGGTAACCACTTTCAGTCCCAGCCGGTGATAACGAGAGCGGACTTTGAGGAATTGCTAGGACATTGCCAGGCCGTGACCGATGCGCCGGCGTCCGTGTTTGCTGCAGAGTTGATCGCTGCTGACCCCGAAGCCAAAGTGGTGTTGAACATGCGAAGGGACGAAGACAAATGGCAGAAGTCGTTGGTGAAGACAATCATCAAGGCGAATGAGAGCTGGGGGTTCTGGATCGCGAGTTGGTTGGATCGGGAGTGTTTCTGGGCGTCGCATGTGTATGAGCGGTTTCTGTGGCCGTCACTGTTTAGATGTGTTGGTGGTTACGGGGAGTTGGGCAGAGTTGTGAGAGGGGGAGGGGGGATGTGGGTTTGGAGAGGTGAGTTGTGTTTTCTTGGACTTGGACTTGCAGTGCTACTCAACAATGTTGACTCGAGACAGAGCATTGCAACATCGACAGAGTGTTGGAATGGGATATCGAAGACGGCTGGGAACCGCTCTGCAAGTTTCTTGGCAAAGAAATACCAGACATGTCCTTTCCCCATGCCAATGCGGCTGCTGGCGGTTGGAAAACGAGAGAAGAGCAATGTAACAAGCGGTGGGTGGAGAGGGCCTTTGTCAACTTGTTGTTCCTCAGGCATTCTTGTGGGGGAGGGCATCATTTCCCTGGGTTTGTTTGCCTGGTGGTGGTGGTGGTGGTAGGGATGGCGAGGGTTAGGGCTCAGTGTAGTGTAATGCTGTACTTTATCCTGGCTGTCGATGACATGACATGTGACCGGCAACTGACCGGGTCGCGGATGTCGGTTATTTGAGGTAAATATGATTACGTATCGTATCCGATGGATTGTTTCCTCGAAGCGCGCGCGTCAAAACAGGTGACATTGTCCAGGACCGAACTGAAGGAGACTTGAAACGAATCAGAAGGAAATTGACGGAGTTTTGCGCGAAGGAGGAACAAAGAAACGGAAACAAAAAAAAAACCCAAAAAAGCTCTGACCAACAGCTCGGTTGGCGTTTAACGAGTGTTTCACTGAGTGACCACAGGGTGGGGCTTGGGCTTCTTCAGGGCTTCTTTTAGCGGGTCGGGAAGGGCAGCCGCCGCCTCCACCGACTTGGCCTCCGCTATTTTCCTCATTCAGCACTCGACTGCAACATCTCCTTCCGGCCTTCCTCCGCGACAATGCAACCTCATCGACCTTTGTCCCTGAATAGCGTCACATCGAGCTCCGAACGGCCCGCCATTGCCATGTCTTGCTTGACCAGGGAGCGCAACAAGCATTGCGCCTTCAATCTCGGCACCATCAGTCATGGCCTGCTCTCACTCCCAGCCAGCACCACCTCGGCTCGTCCAGCCCAGGGACCCGGGAATGGCAACCCCGGAAGGTGGAATAGATTGAGCCTCCTTCAATGATGGATCGAAAAAGGGGGTCAGGCGATACCACTTTGTAATGCAAGTCAATTGGTATAAGATCGATTGGCTTCCCGCCATGTCTCCCTGGAGTGTCTTGTCTTCCACCACCAACGAGCCATCCTCACCACCACCACCATCACCACCACTACCACCATGAAGTTCACGCTTCTCTCTGGCCTCGTGGCCCAAGCCCTGTCCGTATCCGCCGGCTCCATTCTCTGGGATGGCCGCTTCAACGATCTCACCTCCGCCACCGACCTCAGCAAGTGGTCTTGGAGTAGCCAGGTCGGCCCCTACCAGTACTACATCCACGGTCCGTCCGAGGTCACCTCCTACGTCAACCTCTCGCCCAGCTTCAAGAACCCGGCCGACTCGGGCTCCAGCCAGGGTGCCAAGATCACCCTCGACAAGACGGCCTTCTGGAACGGCCAGACCATGCGCCGCACCGAGCTGATCCCCCAGACCACGGCCGCCATCAACAAGGGCAAGGTCTTCTACCACTTCTCGCTCATGCGCAAGGACACCAACGCCCCTGCCCTCACCCGCGAGCACCAGATCGCCTTCTTCGAGAGCCACTTCACCGAGCTCAAGTCCGGCTGGCAGTCGGGCGCCGCTGGCACCTCGGACCCCCTGCTGAGGTGGTGCATCGGCGGCCAGACCAAGTGGAGCGTCAACTGGGACGCCGACGTGTGGCACAACGTTGCCTACGAGATCGACTTTGACGCCAACACTGTCGGTTTCTGGCACTCTACCGGCAGCGATGCCCTTACCCAGGTTATTGCTCCTCAGGCTGCCGGCACCAGCAGCAACGGTGCTGACTGGCACGTCGGTGTTCTCGAGCTTCCCCGTGACGGCTACGCGGATGCTACTGAGGATTTCTACTTTTCGGGTGTCTACATTGAGAGCGGCAGCATCACCACTTCCGTTGCTGGTCCTGGTACGTCAACTCCTTCCCTCCTCTCTTACTTTAGGTAGTACCTCTAATACTAACACTTGCGTCTCAGGCTCCTCCTCCTCCAACCCCGGCACACCCAACACCCCCAGCAGCAGCAGCAGCAGCGTCGCCCCCGTCAAGCCTTCGACCTCGTCGACTTCTTCTTCTACTTCTATTGCTGCCGTCACCAGCAGCGCTGCCCCCGTCAAGCCTTCCACCTCCTCTGCCTCCTCTTCTACCACCGTCGCTGCCGTGACCAGCGCCAGCGCCGCTCCTGCTGTCACCACCTCCAAGGCTGGAACTAAGACCTGCACTCGTAAATCCAGCGCCGCTCCTGCTGCCACCACCTCGGCTGGCTCGTGCACTGCGGCTCGGTACGCCCAGTGCGGTGGTAAGGGCTTCTCTGGCTGCACGGCTTGCGCTTCCCCGTACAAGTGCAACCTTGTCAATGACTGGTACTCCCAGTGCTACTAAGCTGTTGCAGTTAGTTGCAGCAGGAGAGTTCTTGGTAGATGGTTGATGAGGTGGATGTGGATTCATGTACATACTATTTGTTGTTCGCTTCTTGTTCATACTTTTGCTTGACCTAAATACACTTGTTTGCTCAACACGTCTTTCTATCGCTTTGTGTTCAAAGTCAGTGGCAACTCTGATGTCGGCCTTGTCCATTTCTGTCCCGTTGGACAATTTGGCCCAGAGCACGTTGGTTATTTCCACAAGCACACGAAGGCAGGGCAAACCAGGGTAGAGCAGATAACGTCAGGATCAACTTCCACATTAACATCGGGTAGTCACGGGGGTCCTTACAGAACTGAGGTCGGCCACGAGTGGCTTGATTGACTTCTACTTTGTACCTGGAACCTGAAGTTACACCCACGCAGTGCTCATGTGGATGCCTGTACCCCCGAAGCCGCACTTTCCTTTTGTGTAGCACGACTCAACTAGCAGCGGGTGCAGACTGGAGAGTTAAAAATCCACTCTTGTCTGTCACGAGCTGGTGTGTAAGGAAGGAGCAAATACTACCTAGTTGAAGGCGAGAACTCTGAGCCCCTCAAGCGGCCATTTAAACTCCTTCGGATTCCCATCCTCTCCACTGACTCTGGATCCATCAGCCACATTACTTCTTTTTGCACAACATCGTCTTTGCTCTGCAACCACATCACTATCACATTGCTTGGGCATTCTTCACACTTTTCTTGGTTTTGTATCCACTTGCGCTTTCTTGGTGACAACCTGTCATCCCCGGAGCATCGTCGCGTCAACAACACCAAAGTTCTTCGAGAGGTGAGCTTGACCCATTTTCCATCCACTTCATCACCATCATGGCAGCTAACAGTGTCTTTCCCACTTTCCCAGTCTCACTCGACAACCGCCACGATGTCTTACACAAACCTCGTTCTCACTTTTCTCCTTGCCGCTTCCCATGTTTGCCACGGCAAACCTCTCCCCACGCCTGATGATCGTCCTTACCACCAGGGCTTTCCTCCTTACTCCGAGGGTTATCCCACCGGGGCTGGATTCATCGCAGCAACCACTGTAGAGATCACGGCCCTTGCCGAGGAAACCATCTATCCAGTCCTATACCCTAGCAACACAGAGGATGTCCCTTCAACGTCTGCAGAGGCCACCATTGCCACCATGGTTGCCGAGTCCGTGACTGTTCCTGCAACTGCTTCTGAGGTCGAAACTGCAGAGGTCCCTGACTTTACTACATCCGAGGAGCACGCAGCTCTATCGAACGATGAAGCTCCGTCGAACGACGCAGATTCTTCTGGCGATGAGGCTTCCTCAGACGATGAAGCTTCCTCGGACAAGGGGGATGGATCCCCAGATGAAACTCTTCCCACCGACTCATCGCCAGAGCCCCAGGATCAGGACCATCCCTGCGGCAGATTCGATCCATGGACCATTCACTCCCTTTCTCGGAACTGTGATGACGCTGACACGGTCTGCGACTGGTCCTTCATCATCGACACTCAATGCCCCTCGCTTGCTCCTACCCCTTGCTCGTTCTCCATCAAGTCTCTCGGCCCCGATGTGCCTGCCTCGCGCTCTCCCAAGCATGAGAAGAGCGACGATGACTTGTGCGGGCCGTATGAGGTGCATTCAAGCTGGAGCGGCCAGTTTGGTCCTGGAGAGGGGTTCACGACGTTGAGTGTCATTGATGACGGGAACAAGTTGGTGGCGTATCCGGCTTACAGGGATGATTTGTTTGGCAAGGAGGACGCCACGGTTCCGGATGTGGAGGTCGCGGCCTATGCTTTGGGTTGAAGGATGACATTAGTAGAAGGGGCTGTTCAATGGAAAGAGATATCGATATTGTATTGTTCATTGTTGGGATTTGTTGAGTATTGGATTATGGGACTGACGAAAACATTGTTATGGAGTACACGGTAGTCAGGCGAGAGATGAGTAAATGGAATCACATTGTCCCTTGGATGCTTTTTCTTCCCGTCTTGCTCCATGAACTACTTTGCTCCTCTAGCACACATATGACGGTCGAGTGCACACACTCCATTAATTCTTCGGTATTGACACATCCTCAACATTGTGTCACAGCCCATCCACGAAATGTTCGGCTTCGAAACGCTCCATCGGTGTCAACCCCTTGGCATGGGAGTTCTTCGTCTTGTCACACCTGTCCACCCCATGGTAATTGCATCCCGCCGTCTTGAGCTGCCTGGATAATTCCACTTCCTTGTCAGCCAATAATCGGTCTTTTCTTCTTTCAACTCGCTTCGATGGTGGTGCCTGACAAACCTCTAGCCAAAGTCTTGTCGTCCGATGAAGACCTTTGGCGAATTTGACTCAAAATAGTATTGGCCCAAGATAGTATTGAGGTCGTCATCCACGATTGGCAGACCGCACACAATCTGAGAGAAAGAAACCAATAAATTGATCTCAAGCGTCAAGTTCTGCTGGGAACAATGCATGGAGGGGGATAGGTACCATGTCAATAGAGGTAGGAATTCCATCCAAATCTACTTGATAGAGGAAAAGAACGTTTTATTCGGTTTGGCCGTGGGAAAATGAAGCGCCACTACTTTACCGAGCGGGAAACTTGGTAGGCAAGTAAGAGCACAGCGTCACTAGAGTAGCCACACCTATCTATTCTCATGATACAAGCATTCATTGCAAGATAGGCGATGCCAATTGCCAGAATAAAAGGCGGAGTGGGGTGGCGCCAGACGGTTGACGCAACTTGATGTGAATACCTATTTGTTGAAGCCATCACCAGTTCTTGGCATTCTCTTGGCACAAGTCCTCCTTCTTCCCAGGTAGAGGTACATTTTTCTCTCTCTTTCTTACTTACGTACCTTACCTACAATCAATCAAGACTTTAGCCACCACTACGTCGTTCATCATGATTAATTTTTCTGTATGGCTCAACAATATATATTGGCTGTTGGTCGCGTCGGTGCACAAGCCACCCAAAAAAAAAAAAAAAAAAAAAAGTATGGGTCGTCGCATGTTGCCAGCCCAACTTTCACTCCTCAAACTTTCAACAAAGGAGGACTGATTCGATAATGGATACCTAGGTATGCGGCCGTAACCGAAGCGTACCTACCAAAACCCGTGCGATGCCACCGCAATGTTCATGCCCAACTTGAATTGTTGAACCCCGCCACTACCAGGCGCCGGCTAGGTACTTACTTATCCAACAAGCCATATATAGGTAACCATCGCCGAACCGGGGATGACCTCTAATAATCAGGGCACTAGTATAACCTCGTTAGTTATACTAGGTACTTTGGTACCAAACAAGATATAACCCAGAAACTGATGGATATCCGATACCACCGCTAACATTGAACAAGGCAGCCAAGAAACGCAACATAGGCTCGGGAGGTGTTCAATCCAGGCCGAGCTGGATGAACTGAGGGATGCCCGGCTGCCGCGAGCTCCGAGACGAGCACACCACGATCTGAAGGACAAATACAACGCGCTCGCGCAAAAGATCACATGTACGCTGAGGTCCGAGAATCATCTTGCGCCCGGCTTGTGGTCCAGTCCAACTACAACTACATCCGGCAAGCATGTAAACTGACTCGCAACGTACCCGGGGCTAGCATCGCGATCAATTACCCACCTAATCAACGTCGACGCGGCCATCAGCAGGGGTTTCAGGCCCATCGCAACCAGGCAGTAATGGTGAGGTGCAGGTTAGTGAGTGAGTGACCTGACTCTAGAACTGCACCGCTATTCACGCTGGCACGACGCAATGAAATCAGCCTGGCGATAATCTCTCTCGGTCGGCTGGCTCCTTAGGTCCCATTCCAAGACCCAGATATCATGCCATGCAGCCCTGCTTTGTTCCTTAGTCTGGTGCAACAAAGACAGAGACTTTGTTGGTTAAAGGAAACAGAAGATTTGGCTTTCCTATTATATATTTTACCTAATTAGAAAGACCTATTCTATAATCTTGGAGGTTTTGAAGGACCCTCATTAGAGGTTTCTATGGCGCTACAAACCCTTGCCATCATCCTATATCTCATTAGGCGGAGGATAGTTTCTCTCTTGAAAGGCCTGAAAGCTCTCGAATCTCCCTGTTCAACATGCAATAATCGAAGTACCAAACTAAACACATAAACTACCGGTAGTATTGTATTGTGCACTAGATAGGCACCGACATCTTCCGTATAGAAATCGTCGATAGTCTTCTCGGTAAAATCCAACCCCCACCCCTCTGGGTTCACATGGCTGATAATGAACAACAAAACAAAAGCCAAATCAAACACAATCTATTCTTTTCCGTGTCTCCTATTATACAATAACAGTGTTCCCACCGCCACGATTATACGGTGGCGGCGGGGATCTTGCCCTAGCAGAGGTAGCCGTTCCTTTGCGTGGTGTTGGCTGTGTAATTGGGAGGTGATTGGCCCGTTGTTCTTCTGTCCAAATCTTGGTCGCAAGTTCAACGAAGTACACTTTCAGGATGCCCCAGACGATATCGAGAGGCCATACCAATACGAAGAGAGGTCCGAGCAAACACACCTTAATGATTTGGGTGCGTCGTACGTCGGTGGAGGCTTTGTGGAAGTCTGTGAAGTCTCCGTTGAAGTTGGTCCAAATGTGCTCCGATATGAACCAAAATCGGACCACCCCGATGATGACATAGAGCACACGGATTGTAATCCATATGAATATCCCTTGAAAATCGTTGTTTTGGTTTGGTGGGGGGTATGCAGGCGGCTCCTTTGCAATCATGTTGTCGTCCATGATGCTGAAAGTCCTGGAGACTGTTGCGATTCTGTCAGAAAGGAGTTGGAGAGGCAGGGAAGTGGAGAGCAGAATGGTGAGCGAGAGACATACCTGAAGACTACTGAGTGAGCTGGGAGTGGTAGCTGAGCGAAAGCGAGTGTGTTGCGGATAGCAGTGGTAGAATTGTACTGTGTAAAAAAGGGTTGGTTTGTGGGAGAAGAATTGAAGGAGGCGAGACAGTGGTTTAAGTACCTCTAGAGGTAGGTATGCTT